TAATTAACATTTCCAAAGTAATTCCCGAGTCAGGGGAATTAATCCTATGTCGAAGGGAGTTGGAAAGACCGGAGAAGAGGCAAAAGTGTTAGTCAGTTTTTTCACTTCAAAAAGAGACACGGCAAAAACAACAGCAATACTCGGTTCGTGCAAGTTTAATAAAGGAGTTCCGATGCCACTGTTAAGGATGAGAAGAGATCGTAAAAACGCAAATTTACGCGCAGAGGAAACTAACTTGCACACCCTGGCGTCTTTATTCGTGGTTGGCTCCGCATGCTCTCAGATAAGTAGACTCTCACATAAGTAGATTGCAAGTGGTATTCTCTTGCAATGGAAATTTTCTGAACTTCTACGAAGGAACTAAATGAGAGGCTCTCCAGTTTCCCACTGATTGGTGGGTAGAAAAAAATTATAATTTTCTTTCAATTTCCGGATTCTGGTAACATTGTTTGGAAAACATTGAAATGTCATGAACAGTTTAGTAGAAATTTTCAGAATAGCAATATTGAGTTCAATGGAAAAACGGAACGGAAAAATTATGAATTTTTAAATTTCACTGAGAATTTTCCCCATTCAAATTTCAGCCAATAGAATCACACTATTCGACGTTATTTTGTATAGTCAACACGAAATTCAACTCATAATTTTTTGATAATTCAACTGATAATTTTTCATGTTGCCTATATAAAAAACATGATTTTCCAATCCAGTTACTCCCCATCGAATTTGACAGATTGAATTTAATTGCGCCAATTGGAGAGTTTTGATACAAAATGAATAGATTTGGAGATTTTTCTCTGCAAAAAATCGATGAGAAAGTCAAGGGGAATGTACCCATCAATACGGTAAAGTCGGGAACGTACGTGTGGAATCAGTTTTCTGCCTTTTGTGAGCAGAGAAATTACGTATTGAGGGCAGACACCACTGAAGAGGACCTGGCGGATATTTTAAAAAACTGGACATACAACATGAAGAAGTTTAATGGACAGGATTACATGGAAACTTCACTAAAGGCCATGTGGAATAAGACTGCGAAGTTACTCCAAGATAAATATTGGGACGAATTCAGTGTGAGGATTTTGTCTCTTGGTGCAATTCTATTGGCCGAAATTTGGATGGAAAAATGACCCCACGAATACCACTCGACCTTCAAAATTAATCGTGTAATTCTNTAATAATATTATTGCAAAACGTCCGGAAACTTAGGGTCAAATGGAGCTAAAATGAAAGCTCTGATATTCGATGNCGTGTAATTCTCTCCAGGTTCCCTGCACACAAACGAAGTCGTCAAGTTTTTCAGGAAAAATCACTCGTGCTTCGCACTCGTGATTTTTTTTACCTGAAAAACTTCACTCCTTCGTTTGTTTGCAAGGAACCTGTCGGGAATTACCCGATAATTTTGAACCTCTCGTGGTATTATTTGCGGTAATTTTTTATGTTGATGTATATACGAAAAACAAAAGATTTCCTGGCCGAGTGAGCCCCTCGTTGGAACTGACAGATGGATTTTGTCTCTCTGTGCAATTCTCTTGGCCGAAATTTGGATGGAAAAATTCTCTTCCGAATACAACTGGAGCTTCAAAATTGATAAGATATTTCCCTCAAGATTCCCTGCATACAGGCGAACTTCTCCGGAAATACCTAATAATTTTGAAGCTGTTGTTGTATTACATAGGGGAGACTGGGGCAAAGTGGAACGGCGGGGCAAAGTGAAACGGCGGGGCAAAGGGGAACGATAGTAAATTTTGTTCTTGAGGGGTCAAACACGCCTAAGGGTCAAACAGGGAAGTAATCGGAAGGACCAACAGTTGTTGAGGGTCAAATAAAAAAAATCACTACGACTTGTTTACCATATTTCGAGTAGAAAGTCTTAAATTAAGAACCGTTGGGTTCTTGAGGGGGTACCAAGATGAAACTTGGGAATCTCCAATTGATAAGAATATTGGAGCGACTCTTAGTATATTATGAAGTATTTAAAATAGTAAGGACAATTTTACGTGGAGGTAAAACCTCGTGTTTCGAGGTTTTGGCTTTTAAATGCTCCTCGCAGCACGATTGTCAATCCATTTGAACTTTTTCTTTTCAATGTTCGTTAGATTCCATAGAATGAAACTAATTTTCTTTTTGATTCAATTCAGTAACGTAGCGGTAAAAGCGTTTAAGGATATCCAAGTATCTTTTATAGTTTGGTACGGACCACAGTATAGACTGAACAATTTTCAAGCATCACATTTGTCAATTAAATTGCATAACAAATTTGTTACAAAAATCATGGATATTCAGCGTCATTGAAATAATAATTTTGTAGGGAATTATCATTTTTTTAAACAATCCCTTCTTATAAATAATTTATTGAAATTGTTTAAACTTTCGGATACCTTATTTTTTTAGGCATAGAATCAATTTCTAGTAAAATTCTGAATATGAATAAATTTGTTACGATTCCGAACAAATGATTTTTATCGTGGAAAATTGATTGTTTATAAATTATTTTTAAAAAATGCTCGTAAAGTTCAAAAATTTCAAGTTTTCAATTGTTTTATGAATTCCTTCAAAATTAAACTTTCTATTTTTTTTCACATTTTTAAAATATTTTCTGACGGTTCATTATCGAGATTCAAATTCAGACCTTCACATTTTAAATAATAATATTATTGCAAAACGTCCGGAAACTTAGGGTCAAATGGAGCTAAAATGAAAGCTCTGATATTCGATGAAAGTAGAAAAGCATTTCACTGAACAAAAAATAGCCAAAGCACTTGGACATCCTTAAGTTGACTTGTCCTTCACCTGAGTTTTTGAGGAATATTTCAGAATCTACGGGAAATAGCCAAATTTTTGTAATAACATTTTTTGTAACTCGAATGACAATTGTGGTACGAGGAGCATTTTGAAGCCACATACCTGGAAAACTATGTTTTACCTCGACGTATGGGGCAAAATGGGTTGGGCCCAAAATTTTCGTTACTTTTTAGGAATTCCTTAATCTATACAGACTCACTCAAGGACTATCCTTATCAACCGAGGACTTTCAAATTCCACCTGGGTTCGAAGTTTCACCCTGGCTTACAAGGGGATATACACCACTGTTTGACCCTCAGAAACTTTTGACCCTTCATCTTTCTTCGACTAATAAAGTTAAAAAAAAAAGTTGTCCAAATTTCGCTCTAAATTCGTTTTTGCTACCGTTCCACTTTGCCCCGCCGTTCCACTTTGCCCCACCGTTCCACTTTACCCCGGTCTCCCCTACTGAAGTTCAACGGAATTCTAAATTTTTGAGCAGTGGGAAAAGGAGAATTTCTCGATTTACTTGAATTCTTAAAGCAAACATGAATATTTAATACCAAATTACACTGTCGGAAATTTGGTATTAAATATTAATCAACAGTTGATCAGTCATTTTCAAAAGAGTTACATTGAATTCGATGCAGGGGGAACATCTGAAATTATGGGATTTCAGATTTCACTTACATTGCGATGAAATTTTACATTTTTAAGGAACAGAAACGTGAAAATTGCACTGAATTTTCAATTCTTCTATTAAAAAATAGGTGAAACAGTTTTCGATCAGCAATCTATTTTGTCAAGTATATACTACACAAAAAAATATTTCAAGTTTATCATAGCTTATGAATAAAAAAACTTATTTATATATAAAGTATTTTATATATGTGATACATAAATTTTATTATTATTATTGCGATTAATATGATACTTTTTTTTATTCATATTTCTTTCTTACTGCCATTACGGTTTTATAGGCTCCCCATTCGGGCTAGGACTGCACGGGAAACCGTGGAAAACCCCATAGTCGTACCATGGCCCATAGTATCTAATACCATACCCCATAGGAATCATTACCACAGCATAGTAATGCTTCCTAAATTTTAGAAATACATAAAAATCGTAAATTTCACATGGGACTCTTTCCCATGGCTCTTCTCTCCGCGTACACTGCTAGAAAAAGAAAGAAATTCCATGGACTGTTGACTACTATACAAATTTTCAGGACAGTGACACCCAATGCGATTTAGGAGAAAAAAATCATGAAATTTCATGTTCTGAAAATTCAGTACAATTCTAGGATTTTAAGCAGCATAAAGGCGAGAATTCCTTAATTTATTTGAATTTCCAATCTAATATAAATATTCAGTGCCAAATTCTATAGAATTTTCAGTGAAATATGAAATTTCATGATTTTACCCCTAAATCGCATTCAGTGTCACTGTCCGGATTCCAGAGCTCTGGAATCCCCTCGTATCTCGCTGAACTCTTCGCCACCTACACGTCCACTAGGCCGCGCCGTCAGGCCTTAGCGCTGGCCCAGTGATTTGGAATAGCATCCCTGTGCCCATCAGGGAGCTATCGTCGCCTGCCTCCTTCAAGAGCCAGCTGAGACAATGGCTATTGGATGAAGAATCGCGGAGTTGAATTGTTTTCCTTATCTTTTGTTCATTGCTGTGCGCTCAATGCCTGAATTCTGCTCCTTTTTCATTTCTTACTACAGTTGTGTTCCCATCATTTTCTTGATGGCTATAGAAATGTTCAGTCTTGGCTACTGTTTTCTATTTTTCTACTTTGTTATCACGCTGTACTGTACTCAAAATTATTTCTTACCAGGCTTATCTCATGAAATCATTCACCGATAATTCTACTCTTACTATGTCTTACTGCTATGTTACCATTATTTTGTTTAAATTCCTCAACAATAAACTCCTTCTCTAATCTAATCCGGAAAATTGCAGAATTGACCGGAATTTTCTAATTTTCTATCTCTTTCCAGGGAAAAATGGAACTGAAATTTACTGTTCTCTTTGATTTTTCCACGAAATTCTGAATTTTCAATGACGAAATTCCTTGAAATTACAGTGGTAATTAAATTCGATAAAAATTTCCAAAAAGTACCGGAAATTCAGACAAAAATTTTCAACAGTGCACATGATACTCGTGGATTACAGCTTATTTTTCGATTTTCCGTTTTTCATATTAAACAAACTCACCAGTCATTGCTATAATTATCACCACAACCGAAGGTATCCACTGTAAACTTCCCATTGTCAATCCCTTCCGATTGAAGCGTTATGCACCCCGATAAACTTCTTTGTATTGTAAACTACCTCAGTATGAAAAATGATGACATCGTTCTAATATGTGCCATGAAATGAAATTTAGTTTCATTTTTTCAATTGTTCCTGGAGAACTAACGGTTTTGAACACTGCACGACTTCACAGGAACATCACACTCTGCATAGAAACTGAATACTTCCGTCTCATCCCCATTTTACACTACATTTAACACGGAATTATTCAGATTATGACGACTTATCATCTGCTCTTCCACTGGCATTCACTATTCTGCACAGCCAATCTACGGTGAATCGTTAAAATTTTTGCAGATGTTCATTTCAGAAAGAACTGTTTCCATCGGCACTCCATTTTAATAAGACATACTAAATTTTTTCATTTCACTAAAAATTGAAAAATAGAACATTCATGAAATTCATTGCTCTCTGAATTTATTTTCCTATAAATGCATGTCAAGTAAGGTGTATTCATAAACTGTCGCGGACAGGGTAATAGCTCGTATATTTCCGCGAGATTGTTACGAACGAGACTGAGAGTCGCCACACGAAGCTGTGGCGAGTCTGTGTTTTTGGCAGGAACATGCGCGAGCGACTGAACAAGGATACTCTCGGTATACCCCACAGACTTCGCGCACACTCCCTTGTTAAATCTACTGGCCTCGTGGCATCCCTCCTATATATTTTTCAACTCGTATTCCCTTGTTTGCACTTTTTTAGTTCCTGTTGCGTGCATATACACGTATTTACGTTATCCAACTCTCTTCGGGTGCAATGAATCTTGTCTCAGAGGTTTATTGCAGCCCATTCTTCATACGGGACTCACTCTCGATGTTCATATATTTTATTTCATGCTCAAGTCACCACGATTATATTAAGCTTTCCTTGCTTGAGTCACATGTCGAGGTTTGGGTCCTGAATAGTCCTATTCAGTTCTACTTATGTCCTGATTTAGAAGTATTTTTTTAAATTCATATTTTTTTCCTACTAAGCTCCCTAGGTACCTAGACGTGTGTGCTAACAGGGCACGTGCCGATCATTATCATTTGAATAAATCTTTGGAGAAAATAGGAATAGTTGACACGCAGGAGGGTAGCTGCGGTGCGGAGGTGCAGGACATTAATCATGTCCTGTGGGAATGTCCAGAGTACTCTGAGCTTGACCGAGGAAAAATGAATGAAAGATTGATCAAATATAAAAGTCCCAGACCGTTCACCATAGCTGCATTCTTGGTGGCAGAGGATGTAGAACCACTAAAAATTGTCCAACAATTTGTAAAAAATTGCCTTAAGCACAAGATATTTATATCAGTTGTTATCTTTTTGTGTAAATAACCCATTAGGGTTGATACGTATAAATAAAAAAAAATTCTTCCCTATTATCATAATGGTTTTATAGGCTTCCCATTCGTCTGCTTTGCCTCTCCCACTTCTCTTTTCTGATTTTCATCTGCGTTACAATGGGCCGTCTTACTCTTAACTGAACCCCATTCGGGCTAGGACTGCACGGGAAACCATGGACAACCCCAGTCGTACAGCCGACCGATGACCGACACCTTGCCTACCTTCCGAAATTTTTTGGGGGAGGGTGTTCCTAAGCGGTCACCCATCCAAGTACTAACCGCGCTAAACGCAGCGGCACTCGGATCTCGCCGGAGCAATACCTAACTCACCCAACCATTACGGTCGGCTAATTCAGAAGTATTAAATTCCTAAAAAAAGCAGTCAAATAATTTAGCGATGAATAAACTCAATTTGGATAATAAATTATGTTCGTTTTGACTTAATAAAAAATTGCTGTTAGAAGGACAATGGAGAACAACTTCATATTCACTGTTTCGCCAATTATTAACAATTGTGGAATCATTCTAATGGAGTTGTAAACTCCATTAGCTCGACGACTCGAAGTTAATGGTGGGAAACCTAATACGCCGAATGAGTTCTTTACTGGTGATTGGAAACGAGGGGAAGATACGATGAAGAAAGTGATGAACTGATGAAAAAACTTCGACGCACAAAACCAAATTATGTTTAAGGGGTAACAGAAACTAATTTTCCAAAAACTAACTTTTTAAAAAAAAGTTGGTTAGTACAATTGTTTAAGGGGTAACAGAAACTAATTTTCCAGAAACTAATTTAAAAAAAAAATTTCCGACCGACAGTTATCGATATTCTTACAAATCGAAGAACATTAATCCCCAGGAGGTGATGATGCAGATCAATGTGCTTTGGGTTTGAAAAATGTTAATAACTTTGAGCAAGAAATTTATTTGAAAATTTGGAGGTGGCTTTCTGTTACTCCTTAAAGATAAAGTTTAACAATCTATTCACTTAACAATTTTCCATGTATCCATGCCTGATGAAACTGCTAGGATCCAATCTGTTTGATCAGTGCTAGATCTGATATAGATTCCATGGAGGTTTGACTGATCAGACTAGGATCGCAATTCATTCTGTCACAGTGGATCCAGATACTCTGTTCAAAATCTTATCTAGTGATGGCGCGAGACAATTTACGAGACAAAACTTTGGAGAGATTATCTCGGTCTCAATAAAGATGAAAATCTTTGCTCTCATTTCAGTCTCGAAATAGGCAGTATCGACTTCTTTCGTGATGACTCCAAGTCAATTTAGTTTTTCGTGTTTTTTAATGTAAAATTTAGGTTTCGGTCTCGGTTTGTCTCGTCTCGGTTTTCTACATATGAAAAACGCGAAAAAACTAGAAATCTAAATGAAATGATTCGGATTCATCACAAGAGAAGTCGATACTGCGCATTTCAAGACTGAGACGAGACCAAAAATTTCCGTGTTCACTGAGACTGAGACAATCTCTCCAAAGTATTGTCTAGTGATGTCTCGTGAAACATCTCGCGGCATCACTGATCTTATCAGATGTTTATCCGAAGGTCTACTTTAAGAAATTCTGACCAATATTGAATCTAAACTTGATTTATACCTACGCAAACTGAGCGAAATTTCCACTCGAGTGATTCGATTTTTCTCTCCAACATTTGGCTTCGCAATCCAATTTAGCTACCACTACTAACCAAAACGGCTAGCATATGATACATTCAATTTGTGGCTGCAAAAAACTTCTTACTGTGAATAGGGTTTGTTACCGATCCTTTTTATACAGATCGTAACTAGATTGGTGGCTATTGTCGGTAGCTTCTTTTCGAAATATGAATCTCATTCCGAGAAGTTGGTGAACACAGACTTCGACACAGTTGCACACAATTACACATCTTTTATGCTAGTTTAAGGTTCGAAGAAACGGCGGGAAAAATGAGAAGAATGAGTGCTGGAATAGGAACTGAGGACAATGCACAAACTTTAGGGACGTAGTACATGCATCGTTCAGCTAAGTGACATTCTTATAGGTATAGGTAAAAAATTATCCCAAACTTAAGAAGGAAGCCGACTGCGGACTATTACCTGAATGTGGGTTAATTCCACAAATAATCCTCACGTTCAGTGAATTTTCCCAGACCAACGGAATAAAAACACTTTTCGCCTCACACTTTTGCAAAATTAGTTGAAAAAGTACTGAAAATCGAGTTTGCTCTATGATTACTCAACTTGTTCGGAAATTTTTTTCCAACTTTTTTCTCCATGTAAATCGAATACTATCCGGAATCCAACCTGAAATCTTTGCCTCTATATTCTCCATTTTCATCCTAAAATATCTCTACTTTTCTCTCCGTTATTTGCATCTGGGTTAGCCAATTAGACACACGTGACAACGAGGTAGTGGGAAAAGGCGAGAAATCTCGATGGTCCAAAGTGGTATGCGCTAAAGAGATGAAAGGCGAAATATTTTCCACCCTCTCATATGTCAACTCCTAACAGTTGGTTCATGTGCTCACCTACGTGACTACCTAGCTGGCGAGTTATAGGCGAGGCACATTATATTTCGTGTCGGCTGACTGAGAGCGAATGTGAATGGTCACGTTATAGAAGTGGGACGAAAAATATGAAGAAAAACTCCCCAAAACCAGGGAAATTCGGAACGAAATAAACGGAGAAGTGGAACGGGAGCTTTAACCAATCACCCTTGACATTTTTAATTTCCGTAAGTTTAAACGCATTTCTTTTTCTACTATTCCACTCAGTTTTTTATCATCATGCAATCATCATGTGCAAGCTTCAGAGAGACTATATCTGATATTCACATGGACATTTGACCACTCGAAGAATGCGCAATTTTTTGTTGATATACTGCAATGAGGATTCTTTGTTATATCATGAAACGTAAGCAATTATTGATTTTTTATCATGAAAAGCGACTGTTTGTTTTGGTTCCGTTGTGGCAAGGACGGTCGATGTATTATATTGGATGTACATGCGGTTAGCAGTTGGGTTTGCCAGAAATGGTGATATCTGGGGAGAAAATTGAAATTTAGATACTCTTGCCGTCATTGCACTAGTAAGAGCCGGGGGCGGGTGCAATGTGCAGGACCTATTGGGGCTTCATCTTCAGCGAATTGAATGACCATATTTTACACGGAGCAAAAAGTTTCTATTTTTCAGTGAAAATTTAGTAATTTCTGAACTCTGCGGTACGAAAATCTAGCGAATAGAACAGGCTGATGAAAATGAGGAAAACTTTCACTCATTTTAAAAAAGTCTTCTCAGCAGCTTCGGATTTATTACTACAGAACATTTTCATTGAGAGCGACTCGTTCAGACCCCTCAAGCCCGGCACCCATACCACATATGGACTCACGCGTGAATGAATGCCTGTGTCCAAAGTTGAATATTTTCGAAAATGTAGAACTTTTCAAACTTACGTAACCTCTGTTGGAAAGACAAATCGCTTAACTTTGATTATTATTATACGAGACGAGACGAGAAACTGCATCTTCTCGTCTCGTCTCCTTGTCAGGAAACCATTCTCTTGTCTCGTCTCGTATCGAAATACGAGAGCAGTTTCTTCTCTCGTCTCGTCGAGAATTGAGAGATTCTCTCGGCTCGTCTCGCCTTATCTCGTCTGTATA